GTTTTTTGACACCCTCCTCTTGATTGGTCACTTTTCCATTTAACCTTTTTACTTTATTTATTGTAATCTTGTAAATTGGGAAAGCCTTAATTGTGATAATAATTATGAATGGGGAAGGAGAAAAACGTTGGTAATTATGAATGGGGAAGGATCTGGGGAAAAACGAAATCACCCCCATTAATTACATAATTAATTTCTCTCACTGGTACATTAATTACACGTACCACTCCACTGGTACACGTACCACTCCACTGGTACATGTACCAGTGGAGTGGTACGTGTACCAGTGGAGTGGTACGTGTACCAGTGGAGTGGTACGTGTAACCATATGTCCTGTTTAGGCTTAAAAAATTGTGAAGACTTTATGTTTATTCACATTCGAAGGATAATTTATTGTTTTTGGCATTGTTGTTGGCATTTCCCTAATTTTGCAACCCATTTTGGAACACAGTTTTTGGCTACTAATGGAAAGTTCCTATTTTTTTCCCTATTATTGTTTATCATTGTTATGAAAAATATCATTGCACTGGTATTGTTCTCACTCTAACCTACCTTGTGGATTGCTCGCACCAGTGGAGTGGTACGTGTACCAGTGGAGTGGTACGTGTACCAGTGGAGTGGTACGTGTAATTAATGTACCAGTGAGAGAAATTAATTATGTAATTAATGGGGGTGATTTCGTTTTTCCCCAGATTCTTTCTCTTTTCCAATGTGGTGAGAGACCCCAAATTACAAGATTAAAAAAAATAAAAAATCAGTTTAATTAATACTTGCCAATGATTGGAAATAAAATTGGCCAATCATAAAGGGGGTGTCAAAAATCACTACCCCTTTAGGGGTAGTCACGCTAACTGATCCCATGGGCATACAGTTCGATCCAGTCAGCTGCTGGGCCCGAGGAGGACGCCGCGGCCGACGGTTCACGGTGCCCTATGATGAAGGGCACCGGATAGAATAGGGATGACTATACGGTCCGATTATCATTGTTGCTGGAAATAAATCCATCCATTATCCTTTCCTTTCATTTCCTTCTGCATTTCTCAATAATTCTGTTTTTAAGAAGTCCAAGTTACGTTGTAATTGACTTTAAGAAGTGCATGCACAGGGGACAGGTTACGGTGATTACTACAAAGTAGTAATCACCGTGGTTACTAAGGGTAAATTGGGTATGGAAAAATAAATTATATTAATTAATTTTTTAATAAATTACATTTAAGGTAGTTACAAAAATCTATTAATTAAAAATCTCTCTTTCTCTCACTTCCGTAATCTCCAGCCAGATTTCCTTTCCATATTTTTCTCAATCTTTCTGCAAAAAAAAAAAAAAAAAAAACAAAATCAGTACCAATCCATTAGACAAACACTACCACTTTGAAAAATATCAATACCATTGCAGAAATAAATCTATACCATTACACGAAAACTACCATTGCAGAAATAAATCTATACCATTACACGAAAACTACCATTCAAGAAATAAAAACACTACCATTTCAAAAAACATCAATACCATTCAAGAAATAAAAACACTACCATTTCACAAAACATCAATACCATTGCAGATTTAATCACTACCAATGCGACAAAATCAATACCAATGTAACAAAATCAATACCAATGCGACAAAAATAATACCAATGCGACAAAAACAATATCAATACAACAATAACACTACCACTACGAAAAAAATGACTACCATTTAAAAAAAATGACAACGAAAAAAAATACTACCATTTAAAAAAGAACATACCATTCCAATGGAATTCCTCCTTCCTCCTTCCAATTGCCATTAAAAAGCAAATATAGTCCAATAGAACTTCATCTCATTCCGTTCCTTGCCATTTAGCATTGTCGCCATCAGCAGATCGAAGCAGAGCTGGATTTCACGAGACAAATCGTCTTCACCCCCAACTCATCCAAACCCTTCCTCCCTCTTTCTTCTTCTTCTTCTTCAAACTCGGTTCTCGAGGAAGAGCCTTCTCCCGCTTCTCCTCCTCTCCAAGATGCTGATTCCAACTCTCTTCCTCTCAGGTAAAAAACCCCCCCAATCCTCCTCCTTCGCCCTTTCTGGGGATTCCAGTTTGGAAACAAAATCTAATTCAGTTTCTGTTTGTGCACAAAATCAATGCTTTAGAGGGTGGGAGGGATGTGGGAGGGAAGAAATGGAGAAGGGATGCAATGGGAAAGGAAGGATACAAGAATCAGAGCCGAGAGCCGGAAGAAGAGAGCTCCGTTGTGTCTCATCGCTGTCGCCGTCGCCGGACACCGCCGCTTTACAAGAGAGGAGGGGAAGGGAGGAGGGCGATGGAGGGGAGGCCGGCCGACGGTGGAGGAAGTTCTCGGGAGGGATGAGGGTCACGGGAGGTTACGGGGAGGGAGCTTGGTGGTTGGCGGCGGGTTGCAATAGGGTAGGGTTTGGATCTAATTTATAGCGTAATCAGGTGTGGTATATTTTTCAATTCTAAAATTACCCTAATATAATCTTCATCGTTAATTTAAAATTAGGGTGAAAAAGAAATAATGAATGGTGTAGATTAAGGTAGCTACTGTGATTACTAAAAATTAAGTAACCAAGCTAACTCATCCCGCATGCACAGGACTAATTGACTTTAAATTTTTAATTAAAATGAAGTTTATCTTTGCGCTTGCTACTGTTTATACTTGGTCTCTACCTAATATGCGTAGAAAAGAGTTTTGATCACAATTCCAAAATTTGTTGAAGCTATATAAGATCTCAACTCTTGAAGAGACTACAGATCTGGCTAGTTTGACTATCATATGCAATCATTAACTCACTACATTCTACTAAGTTCAGAAGCACGATCATAAGTGAGGATAACTCATAAGAAGTTTGGTTGCAAAGCGACAAAAAAAAGTACCAAGGCCAAGAAGGTTTCTTGAAACTGAAAGACACCGTCTCGACCGTCTAAAGTATATATTGATAGCGGTTTGCGGTTAAACCGCAATCCATCGTCTCAATCAATTAATACGGCAAATCAATTTTAAGCGATTCGGTTTCACCGCACCAATTAGTTTACAATCATGCATGCGTAACAATCCGATAAACATGCGGTGCGATCCGGTATGAGGCAAACCGCACCGTTTGCCCACCCCTACTGCTAATTAACTCCATATAACCCTTGATATGATTTCACAAACAATATTAGCTAGTCAGTAGTCACACTTGTATATGGTATGAATTCATATGCTGCTACATCCAAAGAGGATGATCTATGTAAAACTACAAAATGAACATATACAAGATCTAAATTCAATAGGGTCTTTATGAATATTAAACCCTATTGTTTAAAAGATAAAATTGGAGGTTTTAGATTAGGGCTGGCTATTTGGTCCGGACTTTTTGGTTTTACCCGGGACCGGACCGTATAACCCGGATCGGGACCGGATAGCAAACAATCCAATCTCATATTCGGGCTTAGATTTGAGGTAAAAAACCCGTTAAGGACCGAACCAAAACCGGATAAAGACAAGATAAGAGAGCTCAATACCCAAAACTCCACTAAAATCTCCACAATCTCAATATAAAATCAAGACCGAATTGGGACCGGACCATGTCAAAACTGGACAGGATCAAGACCAGACTGTATCCAATCTAATTTTTCGTCCTTATATTCCCGAAAAGACCGGACTAAGACTAGATCAATTCGGGCCAATTTAACCGGACCGGACCGTATAGCCACCCCTAATTGAGATGAGCTAATTAGTCCTCTGATACAACCCTGGCCTAGTCAATCTAGGATCCGTAATTTTCTCTGGTCTTAATTTATAAGAAGTCAACCTAGGATACTTAATAATTACTAGACAAGAGCACATGTTTTTTTTTGTTGTAAACCACAATTGCAAGTACTTACCTAATAATTATAGTCAGTGTGAAACCACTATAATTATTACCAAAAATGAGTGGGATCAAGAAACATGCATGCAGGCAAGCTAGCACATGTGTAGAGAAGAAATTGTCTTTTTCTTTTTATAATTATAAGAGAGAAGAGTTTGTCGACTAGTACTAAGTATAATAAAAATTAAAATTCTGCATGAAATTAATGAATTAAGTCTTTGTTTATGTAACTTAAACTTAATATTAGCTACCGGCAGTTCACATTATCATCCATACACTTCGAATACTATCCCTTTTTTTGTAATGACAACGAATTTTATGATGGAAATTGGAATATAGTACCGTTTTCACATTCATATAACATGTAAGTATTAGAATTACTCTGAACTTCAATTTCTATTGGAATGGAAGTTTAGGCATACCTAGAATATATCTTCTGTTTTTTAGGGATGTATAATCACTACAACAAAAACTAACATTTGCAACCAAAAAGTTTACAACCAAACTAAAATTGGTTGTGAAAAGGGTAGTATATACAACCAATTATATTTTGGTAGCTAAAATATTAAAAACTTGGTTGTCTATTAAAGTCAAAGTATTGATAACCAAATAAAACTTGAAGAGACCAAATAATTTGGTAGCAAAATGATTTCTACTTTTTCCAACCAAATAATTTTGGTAGCAAAATGATATTTACTTTTTCCAACCAAATAATTTGGTAGCATATTGCTTTTTACTTTCTCCAACCAAATATTATTGGTTATGAATTTAGGTAAGAAATTTGAAAATCTTAAATTACTAAATAATTTGGTTGCAATTCCAATAAAAAAATTCAGCAACTAAATTATTTGGTTGCAATTCCAATAAAAAAATTCAGCAACTAAATTATTTGGTTGTCATTGTAGTAATCAAAATTTAGGTAGTAAAGATGACTAAAACTAAAACGTGGTGCTCTTATTGAAAACATATAAAACAACAGACCTATTCAACGAAAATTAAATACAACTCACCTTTACTTTTCCCCTCTTCTCTCTCCTTCCTTCCTATACAATTCCGATCCAAATTCTCCTCAAATCGATTCTGATCCACCAAATCGCGATCCTTCACCAATCGACTGCACAATACCATTATCTTCTTCTTCTCCATGCGCTTCGCCGAATATCCAAGAAGTCCCGATCCTTCGCCAATCTCTGGTTTGGTAGTTGAGAAGAAGAAGCAAACTGCTACTCCACTTTCCAGAGGAAGCAATTTAGAAGCTTGGTTGCTTCGGTTCATCTATCCTCCTTGTCGATTCTCAGAAGGTTACTTCAGATCCGAGCATATTTCTGATTTCTCTCTAAGCCGAGCTAATTCGAGCAATTTGATCGCGGATACTTACACCGCCGCAATACATCCTCGTAGAAGGAATTTCTGCTTCGCCTCCCCGATCTCTCTCTACTGATTTAGGGTTCTGGAATTTCTAGTCGCAGGGGAATTGATCCCGCCTCCAGCTCTAGCCAAGCCCGCCTCGCACAAACTCATGGCCGCTCAAGTAAGCTCACGTCGGTGTTCCTAGTTCTTAGCTCTTCTTACAGTACCGAGTGGTTCTAGTTTGGTTCGCTTGATGATTGTTCGCGGATTTAGGTGGGGAGATCAGTTTCTTACAATGAACACAAGCCAAGAAAGCCTCCGCCAACTTGCCTTGCTGCTACAAGGGAGAATAGTGTACATCTGGAATTCTGTAAGTTGATTGAACGAGAGGTTGTTTCCTGGAACTCAACTTCAGTTTTTTCAATTAATTTGCTGCCATGTGCTTTGTGTCTTTGCTTTGTATTCCTTGAAATCAACTTCAGCAGAATAGTGGAAAAGGCTACAATAAACCCCACAGGGAGTATTCTGGTGATGGTGAAACAGTAAGGATCCATTCTCAGTACAACTATACAATGGAATGGGCTGGTTTATTTCATGAGTGCAATGAGACTAAATATATGTGTTTATTCAATCGATATATCACGATGTCCTCCGTTTAATTCGCTCGTATGAGCAAGTGGCAGGTAGCATGTATGGGTTCATTGTAGTATATATTCTCGATCCTGTTTGTGTTGCTTCATTTAGTAACACAGACATGGCAGGATTTGACATGTTTTATATTTGTTGCTTTTTGTCCTACAGATTCGTTCAACAGATGTGGCGGGGTCGGGTTTGTGCGAATACGAGAAGCTTCAATGTGAAATGTCGGATCTGCAACTCAAGTACTATGAGCTTCTGGCAACTCGTAAAGTAACTCTCAAAGAGGTATTCATGAGAAATCATGCTGCACCATGCTTTACTGTATCTATCCAAGGTAAGCAATGCACAATTTAGTATGGTTAATGTTTGTGTGTGTGCGCTTTCTATTATAGTATATATGATCAATCTATTAAAGATAAACCGAAGAAAATTGGATGCTAGCTCTTAATGATTACTCTGTGCGATCAACTAAACCAAGAGATAAAAAAAACATAGCAAAATGCTTTCACTAGGTTTTTTTTTATTATCATGGCTCAATTGATTTTCTTGGTGTTTCAATGATTGAGTTTGGTTATGGTATCTTTCTGAAGCTCTGGTTTGGTGGGATCTATTTTGGTGACTCTGTGGTTCTGATTTGATGGATCTAGAATTTCTGTGTTTATGGTGTTTGGTATTAGTTGTGTTTCTTGAAAAAAGGGAAATGGATATTTATGCTTTACTATATCTATTCAGGGCAAGCAATGCCCAATTCAATTCAATTTCATGGCCATTTGTAAGATACAGGGTCGAACCATTCCCGGAGACAAACTGCCGTTCTTGGAAGAATGCCCAGCAGCAAGTAGCAGATAGTGCCCTTCATAAGCTCGCAGGTATACATAGTTACATATTACTAAGTTCAGTATGCTTTATACTTTCGTGCCTTTTGCCGTGTTGAGGGTCAAGTACTCAACATTAATGTTCTGGTGCAGACAAGTATGTAACATACAGTACACCTCATTGTGGACCAATAGAGAAAATGGATATTGGTAGCGAGAAGACATTTGATTCCATGAGACCGCGGAGGACTGAAGTGGGAAAACAGAGAGGTAAAATGCCTACTCCATTAGTGATCAATCTGAATGGAGATCTGTCTCATGGATGATATCTATCTGACTTAGTAAAATAATTTTGGAGTCCATAAGTTAGACATGTTTGGATTTTAGATTTTATCATTAATTTTCAGTTGTTGGATTTGGGTGTCAATGGATTTACTGTAAAAAACATAGGCTGGCATACCACTCAACGATGAATCTTCCTTTAGCCCCCACATTATCTGTTTCTGTTTAATCTGTGCAAAGTAGGGTTCATATGAACTTTCTCTGCTACCAGGGGCAGAATAAATAGCCTACTGGTCATCACCGGTGGCTGACATAAAATATGCATTTTAGCAGATACCATGCTTCGTGGCCAATCCATTTGCAGGTTTAAAGGCGTTATGTAGCTTTTGGTCCTCTTGATAAGGATATGATAGAGTTGAATGATGAACTATTGTATGTTCCATAAGATCTTCACCAAGCAGTTGCATGCTTTCGGGGATTTGTTTTTCATGATCCAGCCAATCAGAGATTTGTTCTTCTCTCTGACAGGTTTGTTGGTTCACTGTTCTTCCTTTTCTCATGCCATTGCATTTATTAGTATGTTCTTATAGTTATGTATTCTGATATTTTTATCCTGCAGCTGTGTACCTTCGTACGACTTCAGTTGTACTTACAACTACATAATGTCCTCCCCCAAGAGACTCTTTGACAGGTAAATGCACAAACTCATTCCATTTTTTGTGTTCTTGTAACATTTTAGGTGGGACTTTATTTCTTTTGTGACAAAAGCTTAAGTTTCCATTGCCTGTTGCGAGCTACTGCAGTTTTGCTGAGGAAATAAGTAGTCGTTCGTCAATCAATTTTTATGGATAGTGCAACAGTTCATAGATTAACTAAAAACATTAGCATTAAGGTTTCATGAATTCAAATTGAAGTGGACAAGTTATTATGTATGAATTTATTAATCAGTGGGTTACTTTGGTGAGAAAACAGGCTGAATTTGTTGTTAATGACAATTTTGTCCATCCCATCTTCAAAAAAACTTAACCTTTTTTACAACACTTGTGAGGTTGATAGCCCTTGAAGTTGTGAAAACTAATACGGGAATGGTTTCTATGTGTTCTCAGGTTGCAATTGAGACATCATCTTTAAGCAGTGGGTTGCTTTGGTGAGAAAACATGCTGAACTCCATCTCCTTTGCGGGCAATGCACAAAGTAGGATTCAACAAAGAAAAACTTAAGAGGTTTCGAAGCTTTCAGCCCCAAAACTTATTCATGCCATTGTGATTTTTGGATTAGTGGGTTGATTCTTAGTGTAACATTATGTAATTGTGAATTTTGGTTAATAAACAATAAATTGTGTACTTGTAATTTTGGTTACTAAACAATTTTGTTATATGAAACAATTTTTTTATTTTAATTCTATTTAATTTTTAGTATTTTCATTTTAGTGACCAAATTCGCATAAATCAAATTGGTCATTTGAAATGATTGTTTTGGTTGTCTTAGGTGTTTTTAGCAACCAATTTTTATGGTTGTATTTGAACTTTATAACTAAAATTATTTGTCACCAAAATGTTTTAATTGGTTGAGGTATGTATTTTTCACGACCAATTCTTATGGTTGTGTAACACTTTATAACAAAAATATTTAGTTGTCTAAAATGATATGGTTGGTTGGCATATATATTTTTCACGACCAAATTTCATGGTTGTGCTAAACTTTCATAACCGAAAAATTGGTTGTCGCAATAATATAATTGGTTGACATGTTAATTTTCCAACCAAATTGAATGGTCACCAATTAAACGTAAGTAAATTCTATTTGCATCCAAAAAAATAGGTTACTAATTGTCATATCAAATTGGTTGTCATTTATAGGATTGGCGACCAATCAACTACATTTCCCAACCATTAGGTTGGACTATGACAACCAAGTTAAAATAGTCGCGAAAAATTAAGGGTTTTTACCATTGAAAAAATTGGTTGCGATATCTTTCTTTTCCGCTACCAATCACTATTTTGGTTGCGTTAGGTATTCGTAACCCGGCTATAGCGACCACTTCTGCAACCAACAGCATTTGGTTGCGAAAAAGTATTAATGACCAATTTTGGCCTTTTAGTGACCAATTTTATTGGTTGCAAATAGCGTTTTTTCTTGTAGTGAATGTTAAACTCAAGTTGAGTTTGGGATGTTATTTTTGGCTCATTTTTATATGTTATTCGAAAAAAACATCGATATTTAATTTTTCTACAACAAGACAAAGAGAAAAAAGTTCATAAATGAATGGTAAATATAACATAATGAATAATTAAGTCTAAATAGTTGAAAGATATAGTCTCAAAATTTCTTTTGTGATGGAAATATGATTTTAGGAAGGGCAAGAGAAATACAGGTAGATATTGATGCAGATGATCATAATATAACGTATCGAGAACGGGACGGGACGACATAGAACAAGTCAGAAGCAATACCCATACCTTACCCCACGTACACTATTGCAAATCGAATAATACTTTCCAAACAAGTCAGAAAAAAAAAGGTTAGGTCGCTGATTACGTTAGAAAATTGTCATTACTATTTACTAATCTTACCGTTGTATTCAGGCAAGAAAGCGGCATGAACGGTTAAATTGATTCACCATAATTTGAAAATCTCACCTCAACGTAGCTACACCGTTGAATACGTACGCATCATGGCAGCGATGCAGCTTAGTGATCCAGTAGTGTCGTAGTGAATACCTCGTTACCACTTGCTTAATTTCGATATAGTAATCAGCAATCTGGGGGTTGGCGCCCGATGGTTAGTTGGATGGACAGGAGGAGTTGGAAGCGGATGTGGAACTTGCCTATTCCGCCTAAACTGAAGGTGTTTCTATGGCAAGTTCTGCACAGGTTCCTTCCCACGACGGAGGCTCTTATTGGGCGGAAGGTTGATGTTCATCCTCGTTGCCCGGTGTGTTGGGGGGCAACAGAGACTTTGGAACATCTCTTTCTTGACTGCCCTGTGGCGCGTGCTTTGTGGGATTTAGCAGGATTAGAGCACGTAGGCCAGGGTTTACCTCGTCATACTTTTCCTCTCTTCCTCAAGAATCTCCTGGCCATTGTGCAGGGCCCGTCCCAGGTCATGGCGATTGTGGCAGTGCTCTGGCGGATCTGGAAGTCCCGTAACTGGGTAGTCTTTGAAGGCAAACAGTTTGGGTTACCAGCCTTGCTTCGGCAGTATCATCAGCAAATGAGGGAGTGGGAGTCGATCCCCCAGGAGGCTGTGAGGAATGCATCATGTTTGGTGACTTCTGGGGAGCACCCTGGTGGTAGTCAGGATGTTCTCGTCTGTAGATGGGATGGCGCGGTACGGCCAGGGTTGCATTCGGCTGGAGGGATGGTGTTGATAGCTCCGGATGGGGTTATTGTTGGTGCGAGGGGGGTGAGTTTTCCGGAGGTTGATGATCCAATGCTGGTAGAGGTATTGGCCCTCCGGGAGGCTATCCTTTGGTGTCGACGCTCTGGCTGGCTCGTTGTTCGCTTTGAGGGGGATGCGAAGGTAGTGATTGATAGACTTCTCTTGGCTCAGGGAAGTGATGGTTTGGCGGGAGCTATTTTTCGTGAGGTGTTGCTCTACTTGGCGGAAAGCGCAGGGTTCAATGTTCGGTTCGTTGGTCGGCGTAGTAATAGGGTAGCCCATTTGGTGGCTAGAAAGGCCCTTTCTTTGTACCCGATAGCGAGTCGTTCTTTTGATTTTGTTGCCTGGTTGAGGCAGATGGTGTAATGATCTTTTCTTGAGTATCAATATATGATTATCTTTTGCCAAAAAAAAATGTTCGATATAGTAATATACAAAAAAATGTCAACTATCTTGTACCTAGGTTAATCAATTCACTACATCGGTAATATATAATAATTTGCGGTTGCCACTAGCTAGCTAAAAAAAAAAGGAGCCCACTTGAAAATCTTGGGTGGATACCTCTGTCAATTTGGTTTTATTTTGTCCATACATAACAAATTAAAGAAAGGAAAATCGTACACAGAGATCGACAACACATGCATTGGCATGCACCCTCGAATCAAGATTAAGAAACCGCTGCGGCCCGACTTCCTACTCAGTGGCGGATACATGATGCTTTAGGGGTGTCCCGGGACACCCTAAATTTTGGGAACACGATTATTCAACCCCTGGTAGTAGTTTCGTATGGATAAACAAAATATAATTAGTAATCTGGGACACCTCTAAAATTTTAATAAATGATTTATCTTACTCTCGATAGTAATTTGCGTGATTAAAAAAATATAAGTGGTACTCTGTGTTATTCAAATCTAGGACACTACTATTATTTAACATCTTCTCCATTAGGTTATAACTCATTTGTTCTATTTTAAACACTATGTAATGGTGAAAACGCGATTTCTTATCCCCATGGGTACCCTAATTTGAATTGATTTTGTGGTAATACTGCAAGTGTTGAAACAGTCTTTTCAACTCTGAATTACATCATGAACGAGGTTAGAAATTGAATATGCGATCTAGTAGGATATACCGTTTGTTGAGCAGTGTACACACCAAATCTAATATTTTTTTCGAAATATGAAAGCACATCGTGACTTTTTGTCAACATTTATACTAATTGGATATTTTATTATTTATGTATAATTTAATTTAATTATTAGTTTAATTCAATTTTTGGAAGAGGACACCCCTAAAAAAAAATTATGGATCCGCCACTGTTCCTACTTAACTATAAAGAGCCGAAACACGATTTCTCAAGCAACCATCTTAATCTTAATTCGATGGCGGCCTCCTCCCCCACTTCGACAATCCTCAACTCGCAATTCACGGAAGCGAAGTGGATGGCGCAGACGGAGGAGAACTTGAAGCTGGACCTGGAGAAGGTGACCCAAAGCCTCCTCTGCGTGGTCCGAATCCCGGGCTCTCTGAAGCAAGCCCAACAACCACCGGCGGGCGCCGAATGCTGCAGCTACACTCCCCTGCTCATCGGCCTGGGACCGTTCCACCACTTCCGCTCCGACCTCTACCAGATGGAGCCCATCAAGCTGGCCATAGCCAAGAGGGGCCTCGCCAGGTTCGGCCTGTCCGGTCTACGGGACCTGTCCGACCTCCTCTCCCCTCTCCTCCCTTCCATCCAGGCCTGCTACGGCCTCCACCTGGACCTCCGGGACGACACCCTCGCCAGGGTCGTCGCCATCGACGGCTTGTTCCTCATCGAGTTCCTCCACAACGAGGAGCTCGTGATACTCTCTTCCGTCGCCCCTTGCTTCTCCAAGAGGAAGCTCTCCCCGCATGCCGTCCTCAGGGACCTGGTTCTCCTCGAGAACCAGGTCCCTCTTTTCCTCCTGGCGGAAGCCCTGCAGGGAGGAGGCGCCTCCTCCGCCGCCGCCATCTCGGAGCAGATCTGCTCCGAGATGGACTCGGTGTGCCGCTTCCTGTCCCCTCTCGATCTCCCCACGCAGTTCCCGCAGTACGTGAGGCGCCGGCACCTGCTGGATCGGCTGTACCTCCTAATGACCTGGCGGGACAATAACAATAACAGCAGCAACAACAACAACAATACTACACAATATTCGGCTGGCTTGGTCGACCAGCTTCGAGCTCCCACCTCGCTCGGAATTCTGCAGCGGGTCGCCGTTGGTCTTCATCTCAAGCTACCGGCCGAGCCTCCGCTGCCGCTTGTCCGAGCCTCCTCGGATCCCACGGCGGCGGCGCTAAAAGACGACGATGGAGAGGGTACTGCTACGACTGACCGCGGGGACGTCGGTGATGTTGATGACGATACCCAACGGATGGCGGTGCTGCTACAGAAAACCGCCTCGCTTCCCGCCCCTGGCCACGGAAATAACGCCGAACGCAACCGGGTCAACCGTGCGAAGAGCCTCTTCAGTAAAATGGAGTCGTCCATCAAAATTGACGAAACCGTCACGAACCAGCTGCAATCCTTTGCTCAACAAAATGGTACGTCCATAAAATTAAAAAATATGTACTACTTATATTATTATGGTAGTCATGAGATCTAGCTAATCTAGCCGGAATCTTAGGGGTCGTTTGGAAGTTGTGTTTGTTGAATACATGTATTGTGCACAATACAATGTTTGGAAGTGCCAAAGTGCTATACAATGCATGCATTGTTTAAGGTAGGTCCCACCAACAATCATAAAAAACGATGCATTATACAATCTCATCTAAAAGTTGAGATTGTTGTGATTGTTGGTTTTAAATTTGTGTCAACTTTTTCTTTCCATTTATATCCCCAATAGTTGTTGTCTTATTCTAAAAGTTGAGGGTAAATGTGACATTTCCCCATAAAAGTAACTTTATGTAAATCAATGCAAAAAGTAGAATCTCAGCAACCAAACAATGTATTGCTAAAATGCATCCATTGTATCAGTACATACATTTATATTATGGTGATTCATTACAATGCAACGATTTAACATTCGTAACTTCCAAACGACCCCTTAATCTGTTGGTTTTTGTTGTTGTTGTTTCTCTTGTTGTTGACCGGACATAGAGACGTCCATAAAATTAAAAATATGTACTACTTATATTATTGTATTCATTAGATCTAGCTAATCGATCTAGCTGGAATCTTAATTTGTTGTTGTTTCTCGTCTTGTTGACCGTACATACAGACAAACTGCCGATAACGGGAGTGTTCCGCGTCTTCACCATGCTCGACCAGGTCCTGAAAGAAGACAAGCGCCTCGTCCCTTCCGTCTACAAGCTGAAAAGAGTGGGCGTGAAGGTCCTACGGGCACGCGACGTCGGCCTGAGCAACATCCGCTTCGACCACCGTGCCAAGACGCTGGAGCTCCCGGTCTTCACCTGGAGCCCCAACACGGAGGTGGTAATGCGCAACCTCCTGGCCTACGAAGCCCACGCGAAGTCCAGCTCCCTCCTCCTGAACCGCTACATGGAGCTCATGCACGGCCTCGTCCGCTCCATGGAGGACGTGCAGCTCTTGATGGAGGAGGGAGTGATCTCCGTCGGGGCCGGTGACCCCACCGCGGTGATGGAAATGTTCTCCGCGATGGGGACGGGGACCAACTATCCCAAGGACCAAACCATACTGGACCAAACCGTGGGGCGGGTCCGGGATTTCTACAGCAACAAGTGGAAGACATTGGTGAAGAGGCTCTCCAAGAAGTACGCCAAGGTCACCATCCAGGCATTGGTTATTTTCACGGGGCTGGCCCTCATCATCGTGCTCTTCATTCAGGCGTGGTGCAGTGTGTACAAGTGCTCTGGCAGTGCTTTGCACCAAACGCTTGCCGAGATTCTCCCGGCGCACCACCTGCTTTCTTATTCTTCCTAATCATATTTATTTATTTACGGATTTATACGTCTCTCTCCCGATTTATTTCATCATTAAATTTACTGAATCGCTATTCGTCGCCCTAAAATTTAAATTCTATCGCCCTAAACTATTCTGAAATGACACATATGCCCATATTCCCAATCAAACCTACACCCTAGAACCTTCTCTCGGCAACCAAAATCTGCCGCCTCTCATTCTTTGGCAAAACCCAGAATTGCTCTCTACCGCTGTCGTGATGTTGTTGCTGGGTGGAGGAGGACGAAGCCACTGCTTCCCGTTGACTGATGTGCCAACTGGAGGGGGTCTGATTGTAATCGTCCCACTCAGAGCTTTTTCGAGTACATTAGCAGAAATTATTGTCTTAATAGGAACGCCAAGCTTGCTGAATATATAATGCAGCAACATTGTATTCGTTGTTCCCAAGTTTGACAAATCAATTTTCATGTCCATACTTCCAGCATCTAGAGCAGAACAAACAAGCAGCAATTGCAAGGGATCAAAAGACTGACCAGCATGCACCATCACTATTAATAAGGGTTGAAAACTTGTCCCGAAACGTTCGGGATGGGTTGAAAACCTGTTCGATATCTACGAAAAAGGGTATTTGTGTAATTCAATAAGATTTAGGGCGACGAATAAGCTATTTTAAGTCTCTTTTAAATTGTGACCTATCTAAACATTGATACATGGCTCATGCGAATATAAGTCCTCTTAGTACAAAAATATCCCTCAATATGTTAACCCCTCCCCCAACTTGCTTCCATGGGGTCATTTGGATGCAGGTTTTGGGTGTGGGATTTGGGCACAATCCTACATAATGTGGAATTTTATTAAAATCACTCGTTTGGAAAGCAATTATATGATAAGAGATTTTAAATATTAGAGATTTCAGAAACCCACAATTGTGGGATTATGAAATAGCTGATGGTGATAAGCTATTTTGAAATCCCACACAAATTCCACAAATTAAAAACCTGGGTTTTTAAACCAGTGATTTGAGCCAAAATCCCACAAATTAAAAACCTGGATCCAAATGACCCCATAAGTTTCACGCCCTAAAATTTTCAATCAATTAATGAGGATGAACGAACACTGAATTCAATCCGGATTTGGGTGAAAATGACATGGGAGGGGCTGTCTTGTCCTCTGCCTTTCTGAACCCAAGCTTGTGAATCTTTTTGTTGCTACAGGAGCTGGAAGATTTGGCAGATCCCTTGAGGAAAGAAGTATCTATTGTGAGGAAGAAGATTCAGTGAACAAGGAATTGAAGCCGCCAGGACAATCAGTGCAGAAGAAGGTATATAGAAGAGGGGTTTGTAAATTTTGTTGTTCTTTCACATCTAACTCTTGATATGGATTTGTTGTTGTCTCTTCGAGTTTGAACAGCGAGGGAAGGACAAAGAATCTGGGTAATTATTTTCTGTGTATTCTCTTTTTTCCTCTATTGTTGTTTACAGAGGTCATGGAGTCCTACTAATATTGTGGAGGTCTTATTACCAATAGGGAAGTTTCAGAATTGGGTCGGTGAAAAATGAGAAACAACGACGATAAAGGATGGGGAACTTGGTCGGTGAAAAATGAGAGACAATGTCGTTAGCAACCTATTTATGAGATAAATCGCTGTAAGTACACATTTTCCCCAAAAACAAATGGGCAAGCTTGCTTGAAACCGCAAAGCTCTCGTAGTATCCAGAATATTGTGTCGATGTTTCCTCTCTACCACACCATTTTGTTGTGGTGTGTCGGTGCACGAAGTCTGAAGTAAAATTCCTTCAGTTTCATAATACTCCTTCAATACCTCAGTATTAAACTCGAGACCATTGTCCCCTTGTATGCGTTTTACCGTCTTGCCAAATTGTTTCCGAACCATGTTGCAGAAAAGCTTAATGTAATGGCCTACCTCGGATTTATAAAGCATCAAATATAACCAAATACCACGACTGAAATCATCCACAATAGCGAGGAAATAATGAGCACCACCGAGAGAAGCCTCTTGATAAAGACCCTATATATCAACATGAATAAGTTCAAACACCGATTTTGTTTTCACCGAACTACTCAAAAATGGTAACCGAGTTTGTTGTACGTCTTGTCGTTTTACCTCTTGTAGATTCAGTTAGGGATGACGCAATTTTTTATTTTTTATTTTTTGAATATGTGGATATTGTCCAAATCCAAGTGATTATGAGTTAGGTAAGATATGAGTAATATTAGATTTGGGTAGACTCATACCCAATTAACTAAATTGAAATTAAATTAACTCCATACTTTTGGAAACAAAAAAGGGTTAAGCATACCCAAAGAAAGTATGAAAGTTAAAGTACCAAAATTCAAAAACATAAAAACTACGTTTAATAGTTATGGTTTACATTTGTTAGCAAAATGTAAAACATGAAGATAAAGTGATATTAACCATAATGATAAATTATCGCTAGCTAGCAACAAAGCGGGCAGGTGTCAACACGTGGAATGGTTTTCTTGGCTAGCAGAACTGCAGAAGGGAGCAAATCTAGGGCCGTTAATGAACCAAGCCGCTCATGAACGGTTCGACGTCCGATTCGAGAAAAACTCGTTCGACACTCGATTCGTTTTAATCGAGTTGGCTCGTGAACAAGCTCGTTAACTAAACAAGCCGAGCTCGAGCCATACCATGTTCAGCTCGAAAGCTCGCGAACAAGCTCATTTAATGGTTGGCATAAAAAAAGGATTAAAATTTATTGATTTTATGTATTGAAATTGGGATATATATTGTGTTTTACTTAGCTAGACATTGCTACAAGTTTGAATTTAATTTTGTGCTCAGTTCTATGTCAATCTTGAGCTATCATGAACATTTTATTAGTTGAACTCGATTTTGGGCTCATTAAGCTTATTGGACGAGCGAGCTCGAGTCGAGCTCGAGCTTTCATTTTCATAAACGAGCCGAGCTCGAGCTTGCATATTACAGCTCGTGATGAACACGAGCCGAGCTCGAGCCTGAAAATATATTAACGAGCCGAGCCCGAACTATGGCAAAGCTCGGCTCTGCTCATTAAAACCCTAGCTGTGTTTATCCCTTTGCCATTTTGGACTTGCTTGGGGCCTTTTCTAGCTCATACGCCATAATTAGTCTGGGTCTTGTTTGTTTGTTTTGCAGGGACCCTTTGGATCATGTAAGACTTTAGTTATGTTGTTCTAGTTGGTGTTTGAAGTTGGTGGTATCGAAGTTTGTATCCTTTTATGTGACTTCGTTCGATTCTTCCATTTTATGTGCCTAGTCTGGAGCTGTGTCTCTGTTTTATTTTGTAGGAGAAGTGGTTTTGACTTTTGGCGAGCTGATGAATGGTTCACGATCATTGGTGGTGGCTCTTTTTTAATAGACCTTAAGCTTGTGTCGTTTTATTTCTAGGATTCTATCAGAGCTACCCATTTTGTGGCTGCTATATGGCTCTTTCATCGACAGATCGACTAGTATTGACTGGTGCGTCTGGTTCTTCAAGTCTTGTAATATCTATTACCAACATATCTATGCCAAAATAAAAAAAAAATATATGTTTCATAAACAATTTGCTCCAAATTCCACATCTCCATCTACCTACCAATTATACTTAGTCTTCTTCCATTTTCCATCTCTATGAAGTACGAGTACACTTTTTTTTTTTAATCTTAATATTGTTTTATGTCCTAGGTTCACAAGTCACATTCAAAATCCAATTAAGCAAATCTAATGTTCGGTAAAGTTTCCTATATAAATTTCCTCACCCAAATAAAAATTATTGTAAAATAAATGTGAATACGACCCACCATCGGATGGGTTGACTTACTAAAGATAAGAGATGGGATCCAACATATAAACTATTAACACATGCAAAGGGAGGAAATTAAAAAGATCATTCTTTCATTACTACTACTCGTTTAGATTGGACCTTGTGGCCGGCCGGGAGCTTCATTACTCTCTCCTCTTAAAATTCCTAATGGCGCAGCAGCAGCAGGCTGCCTCCCAGAGCTTCGGAACAGCAGGACTACTCCAGGAACAAAGTTTGCCTCTTCTCAGTTCATCAGGTATATAAATTGTTTCTATTCTTTTTCTGGTCGAATTGTCGATACGATCCGATTTTTCAATCATTTAGCAGAACCGATGGACGGTGGCAACGAAGTGATTCTAGCGACGGGATATTCCAACAGAGTTCACGACACGACGAGGAACTTAAGGCGGCAAAAGGCGCACCTCCAGATCGAGGTTCTCTCCGGCGGGAACCCCGATTCGATCAAAGAGCTCGTGAGCAGAATCTCCAAGGACTTGGTCAACGAGAAAGACGAGAACGGGAACACGGCGCTCCACAATGCCGCGTCGGTGGGGAATAAGCCGGCGGTCGAAATCCTGATGAATAGCAACCGATCGTTGCTAATGGAGAGAAATAGCGACGACGACTCCCCGCTCCATGTGGCGGCGGCTTTTGGGCGGCGAGACACTGTCAGCTTGCTTCTGTCGGAGATCAGCCGCCGGCCAAAGGGATCCGCGGCAGTGGACAGCGAGTCGGGAAGATCAATGGAGGATCCGAACCGGTTGTTCGACGGTGAATCTGGGGTCAAACTCGTCCATCTCCTCATTTCGGCCGATTTATACGGTAATTAATTGTCATTAATATTTAATATTGCTGAAATAAAATGCGATTGATGTCTAATTGCTCGCTGCTGCCTGCATCTGCTTTCCTCTCTAGCCATTTTGGTCAACGGTCTCACATTTGTTTGTATTTTTTTTTTTTTAATGAACAACTGTCTCGTCGTGGGTTAGTTACATCGGCTGTCATCGAATTTCTAGGTCACTAACAAATTGGTCACCCAATATTGATTTTTGATCAATCTGTTCATTTCTACTTGATATCCGTTCAAAATGTTTGCTTCATCGCATTGGTTACTTTATATTTTAACGAAGGTATTGCTAAAACTTAAAAGTTTATTAGTCACCAATATGCCGTGACGAATGATGATTGTTCATAATTTAAGTGATTTTTTCTATAATTAACTCCGTACTCTGTACTCATGTAGAAAAGTGTAAATTTCTTCATTTGATAGCGTGAATATGAAAATTAGGTATTATAATCAAATAAAAATTTAGTTAATAGACTCTAGATTGGGTATGTAAATCTTACAAAACTTGTTCTTCTATATATCTCACCTACTTAGTTTATTGGGATGAATGTAGTTATCGATAGAGTATTAAAGTTTTGGGGACTAGAATGTTAGCGATTTAAGTTTTATATCTATCCAAACATGGGTTTCTCTATTCCTAGTCATTTCACATTGGCATGCTCCCACAACAGATCTTGATTATATTAATTGGCACATTTGAAAAAAAGATATCCCATTCATCATAACAAAACAAATAAATACATTATAGTTATAATAATAAATCCAAACGAAAAAAATATATTATATCTCCTAATCTTTTTTTTTTTAATAATTATCTCCTAATCACCACCTCTTTCCACATCCTTTGTCACCAATATTTGGCGTGGGGGGAGGGGTCCAACTTTTTGTTTGAGAATCTGTTCAAATGCTTAATATTGACTTCTAGTTAATTGTTGTCTAAAGTTTAAGTACTTTGATTAATTAAATTAAATGTTTTGTGTTTAGATGTTGCCTTGGACATATTAAAGCGCTACCCATCCCTGGCATGGGAAGAGAACGACAAGTGGAAGACACCAATGGAGACTTTAGCACACAAGCCAGAGGCCTTCCGCAGTGGGACCGAATTCGGCATCTCCGACGCCATCTTCTACCACTGTTAGTCGTCGCTATATATATATGTCGTCACTATTTCTTTTTTAAATTAGTTTTTGGTCACTCACCCTTGATGGCAATTCCTGACACTAATTTATTCTTCGCACCATTTATTCTTTGCAGTCATCCACGCTCCACGCGCCGGGAAATACGAGAAGGGAGCGGACGAAGAGGAGTCGAGCAACTGGCATTCGCGACCAAAAGATTACGTGACGGCCTACCGCCACCACTTCCTCCAGAAGCGGCTCTACAACCAGAAGCTGCACCACACCCACGCCGTGGAGCTGCTCACGTTCCTGATCGACCAGGCACTCGATCTCGGCGGCCCGGAGGTGCTGAAGGTGCTGAAATCCTCGACCCAGACGGCGGTCAGGCTGGGGATCGTCGAGTTCGTGGAGGCGATCCTGACGAATTACCCCAGGGCGGTCCTCGATTTCGACGGGAACGGGCACAGCTTGTTCCACCAGGCCGTCCTCCACCGGCAGCTGGAAGTGTTCGAGCTCCTGACGCGGAAGGTTTCGTTCCCACCGTGCGGCAGGTTTCTCGAGGACGGAGAGGGCAACAATTTCTTGCATTTAGCGGCGGAGATCAGACCCGCCGACAATGTCTGCGGGCCGGCTATGCACATTCAGCGCGAGTTGAAGTGGTTCAAGGTTAGCTCGATGAGATTCGGTCATCTTTAATTTGTGCCTTGATTACGTTGCTTAATTAGCACCTCTGTTTTCGTAACGAAACTGGAGGATGAACCGGGAAATGAGGTGGTTTTATGGTTCGGCGATTAACCGTTAATTGCAGAATGGTTGATTAGTTGTCATTAGAATTGTTCATGCCTCCCTATGAACACAAAAGATATAATTATTCGAATTCATATCACTAATTTAGTACTACATCTATTACTAATTATAAATAATTTCAAATTCATGTCATCTATCATCAAAAATTCTAACTAATCATAGTGAACAATACAAAGACAACGAGTCTGGAAATCGAAGTAAAAGAAGTACAAATAAAATTAGCAATTAAAGTTGGATGATCTTAGTTTACGTTAAAAGTACTTGTTATCTTAAAATTTTGTGGTTCAGATAGTGAAGTAATGGACTAATCAAACCAGAATAGTTCATCTCATTTCATGTCAAATCGTTAAGAATCGTTCGTTTCATTCCTATCCGTCCAAGCAAATGAACGAAACTGTTATTGTAACTAGTTTGACTGTCCTACTATCCCAGCTGATGAACGGAAATATTAACACGATTTGGTGTAGGGGTGGGCATTGGGTGGGTCGGGTGGATTTTGACCATAAAATGCACCCACCCGCGCTTAAACGGATTGATAATTTTTAACCCACCACCCACCCACATTTAGTCTCGGGTTGGGTCGGGCGGATGGTGGATGATGCGGGTGGGTTTGTGGGTTCACCCACATCACAATGTATATAATATAAAGGAGTCAACTTGACATGATAATAGGTGAAGAGAATCATCGAGGGAAACAAGAAGTTGAAATACTTTTTTGGCTGCGGAGGGGGTCTGGTCCCCCTGGCAGGTTTTTAATCTCTTTTCTTTTCCCCCTGGCAGTTATTTCTTCCCTTTCCGTCCTTCTTGGGGATCAAGCTTGTTTGATCCATTGTTATTTTTGGTTTTGCTGTACTTACACTTTCTCCTTTTTGCCTTTGGGCTGGTTTTAATAATTATCACCATTATCAAAAAAAAAAAAACAAGAAGTTGAAATAGGGCGAAAAATGTCGAATTAGTTCTTAAATTGGATAGAAATTCTATTATGAAAGAGTTTTCTATAGATTGAGACGATTATTAGGTGCAAGGAACTAAGGAAAATAATTCCACAAAAGAAAGAGCGGTGATCTAGGCTCAAGAATTAGAGGAAAACGTAAAAGGAAGAAGAGGGGATCTCTATTTGGAAGGTTGATTTTGAGGTTCAAACTCCAGGAGCAGTCCGAGTTTATATCTAACGTCTTCATTCTCCTCTCTCTAGCACCAACGACTTTGATCTTTTTGCTGTTGGGTTGAGCGGGTCACCCGCACATTCACCCACAACCCACCCACCACCCGGCGGATGGCTCCCAGCGCAACCCGTCACCCACCCACAGACCCACCCACTTAACGAAATTCGGGTCAAATGCGGGTGGGTCGGCCCAAACCCGCGGATGATCCGCCCGCATGCCCAGCCCTAATTTGGTGATTGAACACATATACTAAATAATTAATAAATTAACCAATTCCAACTTTTGACCATCTTTCTCTCTACAGACGGCAGAAAAGATCGTCGACAAAAGACATCGCAACGCGAAGAACAACGCCGGCAAGACCCCGAGGGAAGTCTTCACCGAGCAGCACAAGGAGCTGGTCCAAGAGGGCGGCCAGTGGATGAAAGAGATCTCTTCCAACTGCGCCACCATAGCCGCACTTATAGTGACGGTCGCTTTCGCCGGCTGCTTCACGTTCCCCGGCGGCACCGACGAATCGGGCCTGCCGATCCTCTCCCGACACTCTCGATTCCGCAGCTTCGTCTACACCAACGCCGTCGCCCTCGTGGCGTCGTCGATCTCGCTGCTGATGTTCCTGAAGATGCTGATGTCGCGGTGCCAGGAGGAGGATTTCCTGGTGGCGCTGCCCAAGATGCTGATACAGAGCCTGCTCTGGCTCTACGTCGCCATAGCCTGCATCTTGCTGACGTTCGCGGCGTCGCTGTCGCTAATGATCTCGAATTTCGAAGGGGCTTCTGGGTTGACTTGGTTTGGGGTTTCGGCGTATATCTTGTGCGTGATCCCGATTTCGATATTTGGGTTTACTTATCTGCGGCTCTGGTTTGAGGTGGCTGTAGGGAAAGTGTTCATGTAACTTCAGACTGTCAGGTTGTGACAAGTGCTTTGAAGAAGCCCCAGGATCTCTGACCGTGGCATTGTCAGGTGACTTTGGCACGTACCATCATCATAACTGAAACAGAATGCTGTCAAATCGCAGAGTCCATCATCATAATATAGGACAGATATATGAATATGGTAGTTTGTTTTGGCTACTTTAAATATAATAGACATTGGGTGTCTAGACTCTAGATGACTAATAAAACCCTATTATGCCTATGACCGTCTCTGCCTTTTAGCACCGGAAGAAGAGTGGGAGTGAACTGGATTGAGAACGGAATCACAAGTTGCATCCAGTTTTCTTTGCAAGACTTTCAGATCCTCTTCACTAACAACCCCATTTAACTTCTTGTTTAACTCATAAGCTGCGGCCAACTTCTGCTTACAGTCTTTGCTTGCTGAATCATGAGACACCACTGCAGAACCAGGGCCATTGAAAGAAACAATAATCACACCAGTCGTCAAAAACAACTGCCGTAATAGAAAATCTGAAAGAACATAAATCTTAGGATGACTTGGAAATGAAGGTTTTACAACAAAACAACATACTAGGTTTTGGATAGTCCTTTCCTATGATGCATTTGGCTTTAGTTTGGACACTGAGAGGTGCAGTCCATGGCTCGTAGATGTACTCCTTTGGCATATCTGTATTAGTTCCATATTTTTGCAACAGCCATCCGTTATTACAATTATCATCTAAAGTCTAAACAGAACATGCAGAAAAACAATTAATGGCAAAGCAGCGAAAAGCTTTACCTTTCAATATAGGCAGAAAATGTCTAATATAGTTCCCGTTAGGATCATATTTCTTCCCAAATGATATCGGTGAGTAGATCCGATTATACTGCAAACCAAAGGAACACAAAGCAGTTCACCCGCTTGACAGTCAACTGACTAATAGTATAACTGAAGTTGCTTACCTGGTAAAAGAATGACGAACAAGAGAGCCACATCCAATTCCCACTATTGATGGCCCAGTCCGAATCAATCAGAAGCCTTTCAAAAACATCACGCCCTTTTTCCCAATGAACAAACTAAAACCAGGAGAAAACCAGACAATTTAATGTTTGCAGTAAAAGCTAAAGACCGAGAAGAAAGAATGACGAGCTAGAAGTAGAACTTGTACCAGATCACCACGAGTCAGGAAACATGCAACACAATGCCTTGCTAGATGATGCATCCAACCCCACTTGTGGAGCTGCAATTATAAGAAAGAAACAAACTTGGATGAAATTACTTGCAATGCTACGCCCAATGGAATAGAAACACAAACAAAAGGGTACATAGTAGCACTATAACAGAACTACCTATCAAAAGAAAGAAGCAAAAATGGAAAGGAACTAACTTGGGTCATGATAGCATCAATCCAAGGATATCCTGTTTTAGCTTCTCTCCAAGCTGTTAACAATTCATCATTATCATTCCACGGTATCTACATGGCAACATAGGTAATTATTTAATTTAACCCTTTCAATGTTGATAAGTATTTAGCTAACTTAATATAGTCGATGAGATGTACATTATAACAAAAATACATAAGAAAAATTTACTAATGTGAGCAAATCCACGCAGGCAATTATTACCTTACCTGCTTGCATATTTTGTTTCCTCTCATCTGATCAAAGTTTGGAGTACCAAAAGCCACAGTGTAGAAGAAATCTCTCCACAACAACTGTTAAAATAACAGATTATAACTCAATAGATTTTCACTGACCAGAATCACACATAGCTCATAGAATTTTGGATTAACCTGGCCAAGAAGAGAAACTGGTGGTGATGTATGTTTTTTGTTTCTTGTATAAACATCCTGAATGCATTGGTAGAAGTACCTGGAAGAAACACATCCAAACTGATAACCAGATATTAAATATGCCAGCGAGAATGAATAGAAATGACATATAGATGCATTCTACTGGTAACTCACTTTGAGATACGGTGAAAGTGTTGTAGTTGCAGGCCTTAGAAATGCCGATGGATCACCTTTAGGCTTTTCAAAAGTCGCCACCCACTTCTGCAATACAAAAAGAAATCCATTTTGAATGAGGTACGAGATGGAAAGCAAGTAGACCAAGTGTTAAAACTTAGAACACATGAAACATCTGTGCCACGTGATTAGTTTCGAGATATACAATCAAAGTTCTAACTCCTATAATAATGAAGAGACTTGGGAGATTTAGAGAGTAGAACCGTCTCTATATCAGATTCAGTAAATAGGCCTATTGGGTATGACGTACTACTAACTAACAACTATCCATAGTTGTTTAAGAAGTAACTATTCCAAGCCACTAGAGTTCTCAACACAAGGTCTCACTCATGTGATCCTACCTCATTGCTGATAGCTTCTCGCAGCCGCTTCAATCCTTCTGATTCACCACCCCTAAAAGGAGGCAGTTCATTGCCCTACAAATTTTAGAGAACAGAGCCGAAGTGAGGTTAAGAAGGAGACATCAGAACATAATTTCAGTATATGCCTAAGTTCATACAATGATACAAACCATTTCAATGTCCACATAACCAAGCTCTTCCAAAGTAGGGACTTCCACAATCTGAGAGCTTCCAACATCTCCAACAGAAGGAAGTGAAGGAAATATTGTCATGAGTGGGGAAGACGCCCATGAGGGTTCCCCAGCGAGCTTCAGAAATGATTGGTAGCTCACAGGCGGCCTTCCTCCATTCTGTTCAAACCAGATTACGAATATTTCATATGATTTCTGCATGTGGATACTAAATTCATCGAAGGTGTGAAGTTATGCAACTCACCTTTTGTATGATATCAGCAGGATTGAATAGAGTGTGACTCACCGGAGAAAAGACTTCAATTCTAGCTGCAGATGCGTAGTCCTAAATAAAGCACAGAGTAATAACCATGATGTGGTGTGAGAATTTATGATCTGCTTCCACCATTTTTAGCTAACATTGAAGATGACTTCTTTGAAGGCATATCACAAATAAAATAAAAAAATGTAAGAACTGGCAAGTACAAGAGTTCTAAAGTCAGTAAGCAGTACAAACCTTAACTCTCATATCTAACTGTTGGTAATAAGGATCTGTATCATACTCAAAGCAAAGCTTTTCAACTTTCCACTGCAAGAAGAACACACAATAAAAACAACATTGTTTAGGGACTTGAACTATAATCATATAGCTGAGTTTTAGAAATGGAACAAAGACCAAAATTTGCTGGTAAGTGCTTCTTTGGAGTAAGTAATGACAACAATAATAGAAAACTAGTAAAATATTGTTTGCCTTTTGAAGGGCTATGAATAGTTAATACCATTGTTTAGGGACTTCCCAAGGTTTTAGCAATAAAAAAAAGTTTCAAAGAACAAGCCAATTCTTCTTATAGCTAAGAAAGCAAGCAAGAGAGAGAGAGATTAAGGTCTCACTTGCTTCAAGCAGTTGATCAAAACCTCTCCAGGTTCACCCTTCATAACCAGCAACCTTGAACCAAGCTTCCTCAAGCTCAAGTCCAGATCTTTCAAGCTCTCCAACAAGAACCGGATTCTGTTCAAACCGGCTCGACTCGACCCAGGTGAGGAAGCCCTCGGGTCGGGCTCCATGTAATGTGGATCAATCACGAACACCGGGTAAAGAAACCCCCCACCTGTAACCCCTCTGGAAGCACATTCTAGGGCTGGGTTGTCGTGGATCCGAAGCCCCTTCCGAAACCACATTAGAGCATTACCCGACCCGGAGAACGACGAAGACGCCATCGACATTGACTGAAAATAGTTCCCGCCGCGAGTAATCGCATTCGAGTCTAAGAGTTTCGAGGGAAATAGAAGAATTCCAGCAGGTTTAGTCGCATCACTTTCTCTTGCTTTGCAGCAATTTGACGGGGGGCAAATAGCAACGGATGTTTCCTTTTTTGGCTTACCTTTCTCTAGCGGCCGATCTCCGAGGCAGGATTCTTCTCCCTTTTTTGTGGCGGGAAACCTATGCCGCCGAGAAGCGAGAAAATGGAGTTGGGGAACTTGCTCCGCTTGCCGACAAGTCACAAGTGGATTGGAGTAGAAGATAGAAAAAGGCCCAAAAGCCAAAAGGGCAAACAACGCCAAACTAGCAACTACCACAACTACCACCATGCAGGGCGGGGTGAACAACAAACACACCCGCAAATCAATCCACCCGTCCAACCCGATCCAACTCATTTGTATTTATCAGTGCTGTCAAGACCGAGCCGAACCGGTCGGCCGAACCGCTAAAGCCGCCACCCGACCATAAAACCGGCTCAGACCAGTCAATTAGCCGTTCCGACTTTCTAGAGCGGCCGGCGAGCGGCCGACGCGGTTCAGACCAGTCAATTAGCCGTTCCGGCTTTCTAGAGCGGCCGGCGAGCGGCCGACGCGGTTAACCGCTCGGGCCGCTCGAGCCGGCCACCCGGTTTTCCCCCATTCCGACCGTTACGATTAATAAAAAAAAACTGAAAATGAATGGCAAAATCGTCGAGGCTGGAAAAAACCCTAGCAATAATTCACTTTATCTCTTTCCGTCCTTCGTCTCTTCACGAACAGAGAGGGAAGAGCGGCGCCAGACCTGCCGTCATTGACACTTCCCGCCGTCGGCATCCGCAGTCGCATCAAACCAGCTCCCTACTCCCTGCTCGCCATCGTCAGTAGCAGCTCCTCTCCTCCCGCTTCGTCGTTGCTTCTTGTCCCGCTTCGTTGCCAGTAGAGCTTCTTGTCGACGTCGTCTCCATCCCCGTAGCATCTCCCCTGCTCCAGCCCATCTTCAGAGCATCTCCCCTGCTTTAGCCCATCTCCCTTGCTCTAGCCGTCTCACCTCCGCACCATCTCCCACCGGCGGTCTCTACTCCGCAGCTCCCACCAGCAACTCCCACTCCGTCTGTACTCCGCGGCATCTCCGACCAGCATCTCCCACTCCACAGCTCCCACCCGACGTGAGGTAAATTAATCATTTAATTGACTAATTGTGAAGTTGGTGAGACTGCTTCCACTGATTCAAATTATTAATTTAACATTGAACAAGAGGCCTTTGATTCAATTGTGAAGTTGGTGAGACTGGATTTTAGAACTTTTGGTACTGTTGTTCTAGAATTGTTAAGACTTAAAAATATAGGGAGTTGCTAAAGGTCGCCCTTAAAATTGCTAAAGGTCGCCCTAAAAAGAATCAAAGTTACACTTTTACCCCCTTAGCTTCTTTACCTTCCCTTTATCAAACAAACACCACTTGAACTAAAAAAACACTATCTAAGGAGAGAAAAATCCATCATCGTCATTTTGAAGCCGATATCGTCGGAGTAGCGACTCCGACGAGGTAAATACATTAACTGAAAAACGAAAAAAAAAAGGAACCGCAAATCACCTGCGGTTGGACCATGGCTGGACCGCAAATGAACTGCGGTTGGACCATGGATGGACCGCAAATCACCTGTGGTTGGACCATGGCTGGACCGCAAATGACCTGCGGTTGGACCATGGCTGGACCGCAAATCACCTGCGGTCCAGCCATGGTCCAACCGCAGGTCATTTGCGGTCCAGCCATGGTCCAACCACAGGTCATTTGCGGTCCAGCCATGGTCCAACCGCAGGTTGACCGCGGTCAGCCGTTGGTTCAACCGCGCGTTGACCGCGGTTGACCGTCGGTCTAACCGCGGTTTGACCGCGGTCGGCACGGTTTTTTTTTTTTTTTTTTACCTTCTTCTTCTCCGACGAAGCCTTCTTCTCCGGCGAAGGCTGCTGCGCGGGTGGGATCGCGGGAGTTCGGCGCGATGGAGCGAGGTGCAGAGGGAAGTGAACGCAGGAGAATAGGTTTAGGGCTTGTTTGTTTCTTTCAATTTTGATTTTTTCATTAAGGGTATACAGGTAATTTGACATCTAAGTTAGGGCGACATTTAGCAATTTTAAGGGCGACATTTAGCAATCCAGAAAATATAATGTACTAATTTAGTCATGGTTTACCATGATTAAGAAGTGTCTACTATTTATACTTATTGTTTATTAGGTACCGGTTCTCTAACGATTTTTAAACGGTCTAATGTCGGTTGGACCGTTAAAGACCAAGCCATTCACATTATCGGGTCGTACTCCGGTTCGCTTTTGACGACATTGGTATTTATAGCTAAAGCCTAAAACTAAGGTTTTGAGTTAGGTAAGAATTTTCTTTTGTACAACCCGCATCTTTTACGTTTGGTTTGGATTTTGGATTACACGACCCGTAGAACACGACCCAACCCGTATTCCAACTATTGGTATGAGTTCGTATCAAAAAAATATTTATGTAGTATATAGTCATACTTATGAGAAAATTAAAATATTTTACCATGTTTTTCTCTCATGTTCTCCCTAATCTTATGCATTCTTCGGCTTAAAGTTTAGACATAGATTTAATATAGTTATGATTCATATAATCCTTTTTCCTATTTACAATTTTAATAGAATAACATATTATGGATGCGTTCGTTTTTAATATAGCTATGATTCAGTGTCTACTCAACTCGTATTCAATACCGTGTATTCTCATATGTAGTGTCAATGGAACTTAAACATGACCCAGTGGAAGAAGAAAGCTCGATTTAGGCCAAAATGGAAAGAGAACTCTTGTGCTTGGCCTCTGGCTGATTAATTGCGCCCCTATCTGGGGGTCGCAAAGAGAACTTCTCCCTCCCTTTCAGGTCCCCTGAAAAAGCCGCTCTTCTCGACCAGAACCTTTTTTTGCACGCAGGGATATCAACAGCGATGGACAGGGGAATCGAGAATGGAGCTCGGATTCCGTCTCATATTCCCGACAAAAACCCTAATTTCGAAGGATCTGAAGGCAAATTAGACGAAGCAACGACATAAATGGGCTTAGGATAGGGTGAGTAACCCTTTGTTACTCACCCGTGAGTAACCACTTTAGGACCGTAGATCTGGGCCGGACTGATCGTGTGGCTGTGGTTGATGCGGTGATGGTCAGGGGCATTTTTGTCCGGTTTTTGAATTTTATTTATTGTCTTTTTCTACTTTTCTAGCATTTATATTATTACTTTTACGGAGGAAAGAGAAACCAGACTTTTCTCTTCCTCCCTCTTTTCTCTTTCCCTTCCTCTCTTCCTTCTCTCTTCCAAACTCCTTTTCCCATATCTAGATATGTTCCTTTCTTTTGTTCTTTATTTTTTTCTTCAACAATTGACAAAGAAAAATTGCAGCATCATGCCTCAAAATCTGGTGACGCTCCAAATCCTTCTTTGCAGCTGCTTCTTCCTTATGTTCTTTCTTTTCTCGGCCTCAAAATAGATGACGTTCCATATTGACCAAGAGGGGACGGATCTATGTGAGTTAAGTTTGCATGTTTTATATTTTAGTATTTGTTTGTGAATTTTCAATTCCGATCTTCCTCCTCTTTTTTTGTTGCAGTTGGTGTTCTTGATTGCGGAGGAGAAATGAGAGGAAACAGAAGACGAGTTTTTTTTGACTCTCCCTCCTTCTGTTTTTCTTCCTTTTAGGTAATATATATTGATATTACCACACTATATCATATGGTAATGTGTGATAACTAAATGTATATTTATGGTCACGAGTTTTATCATGGTGGTAGTGGGTGGTAATCAACTCCAGTTCTGAGAAAAAAGAGTTAGAAGACAATGAAGTTGGAGAAGAAAGTGAAGAGAGTCGTAATTGTATATATATACCGAGATTACCACAATATATCATATGGTAATGTGTATATACCATATGGTAATGTGTATATACCACACTATACCATATGCTAATTTGTATATACCATATGGTAATGTGTCTATACCATATGGTAAAGTGTCTATACCATATGGTAAAGTGTGGTAACGAAATGTATTTTTATGGATATCGTGTTTTACTATGGTCGTAAAGGGTTGTAATTAGATTTATATTATTTTTGTATGGTTTTACCTTCTCATACCATGTGGTATTGTATGGTAATTACAATTAATTTGTGTTCATTCGATTAACCATGTTCTACTATGGTGGTATTGTATGGTAGTTAGATTTACCATATGTTGATATTACCACACTATACCATATGATATTGGGTGGTAACGAAATATATATTGATATTACCACACTATACCATATGGTATTGGGTGGTAACGTAATATATATTGATGTGACAAATTTTTTCATACCATATGGTATGGTCAATACCAGTCATTACCATATGGTATAGACTGGTAATAAATGACAAATTTTTTTATATCTGAAAAATATCAAAGTGGATATCATTTTGAAGAGCACAATTAATCTGATCTAACTGTGCAAAAAAAATTAAATTCCGACTTAAAACGAGTGAGAAATCGTCCGTTAAAGATTAAGAGAAGGAAAATTAAAGGTTGTTTGAGGAGAGAGAAGGCGCTGATGTGATCTGGTCAGCGTCAGCGCGTCAGAGACATCATTAAATAGGGGGTGCAATTTTACCTTAGTGCCCCTCCGTATTTTTTTAAAATAAAAAGAAAAAGCTGACACGTGGAGGCCAGGGGAAGGGGTTACTGATGGTTACTGATGGAATAGTTACTGAGGTGATCCAGACCCACATAAATGGATACTGAAGATGGAATTCTGTAAAGAACGACAGCCAGAAAAACCTTCATAACCAACTAATATTATTTTTCTCAGACGAGTTTAGAGAGGGCAAATCAATCGAAGAGTGCGGAGAGGGTTCTAGAGAGAGATGGCGGAGAAAGAATAAGAAGTAGAAGGGAGAATGGAGAATCGGAGTTTGTAGGAGAAGAAAATGGCGGTGGAATTGGCGATGACGAAGAAGGAGATGACTTGTCGGAGGGTTTTGAATTGTGGAAGAAGAACAAAAAAAATGGAGGTTGAGTCAGAAAGAGGGAAGGGGGAATTTTTTTTTTTTGCAACCAAGAGAGAGAGGAATTGAAATGGAAAGTGAAAAATGAAAAGTTATTGGTGGTTTCCCTCTTTATTGGTGGTCCCTCCCCTTTGGCTTGGCTAGCTAGCTGGCTCATGCTTTCATTTAAGGGAAAATGGAGCCCTTCCCCAAGCCGACAATTACAACCATCCATTTTGTTTTTT